AACAAGAGGATTCTGCTACACTGCGTTCTGTTTCGGAGAACTCGGGGGGGTTGTACGTTGCCGACTGGAACAATTGATTTTTATTTATTTGTTTATTCACTGCAGGAGAGAGCTGAAGCAGTAAGTTTTGAGGCTTTAGCTGTTCTGGAAGAGTTTTATTTAGAGAAACAGGCTGATTCTGTTGCTGCCTGGGCTTGACACGAGCTCATACAATCCTGTCGCTGGTGTGGGCTCTGCAGCGCAGCCCCGGGATCTCTCGCTCCAGCGCCCAGGTCACCTCGAGCCATTCGCTCCGGCAGCCCAAGGTGCTTCTGTCCAGGGCTGGTTGCCATCTCCTGCCCTGGAGCTCAGCTGCACATCGCACAGGCTTGGCTCACCACCAGCTCCCTGCTGGCGGAAAGACACAAACCGCAGGGTTTTGGGCTCTTCCTGGTCTCGCACCCTGCCCTGTTCCTTCCTGACTTGCCCTGCTCTGGTGCAGGCTCCAGAAAAGCCTTTGGTCCCAGATGACACCCAAAGGTGGTAGAGACCCCTGGCTTGTTCGATGGCTGTGTAGGAGCCAGGGCTCTGTAGCCACAGGACACCCAATGCTCAGCAGAGACTCCTAAACTCATTGCTCAGCAGAGTGCTAGGAGGGGGACATCACCACCCCAGGGTGGGTTTGGAAGGTGACCAGCTGGTGCCTTCTTAATCCCTTCCCCGTCTTGTCTGAAGAGTTCTGCCCCGCTCTGGTTAGAGGAAAGATCCTGCACGTCAGAGGGAAGCAAAGGGCCACCATGTCCCTGCAGTGACCCTCCCTGGTGACAGCCTTCCCCCGCCGCCTCTGTGCTCTTGAAAACGGTGTCTGGAGGGGAACAGCCATGCACCCCTCTGGCCTCTCTGCTGCCAGATTCTGCCTGCAAAGGCCGCCGGGCATCCCAGCCGGCATCCCTCTCTGGAGGCTGTCACCTCGGCGGTGGGCTGTCCTCGGCACTCCTAACTCCGCGAGGCAGAGCCAGCGGTAAGGTTCCCTGGGACCTGCTCGGCATGCGGAAAGCTGTCTGCTTGGTTGAGTACCTTCTATATTCTTTTTTAAGTATTATAATTTTTCTGATGTG